AATGGTCTAACGTTATTGTACGAGCTTTGATCATGTATTACCACTTAATCCAGGATATGAAGCTTACATAGATTAGCTCGAATCTATTATCAAAACAGTCCAAAATAATCTAACAACAGTCCAAAATAGTCTAGGAACAGTCCAGATTATACAGTCCAAAGTTCATGTGTACACAAATTAGAATCAAATCATCTTAGACTTTCATATCTACTTAGCTATTACTACACACAATCAATGCAAGTACAATTTAGGAATCAATGGGGCGAGCATCTCTTTATTTCATCTCCATTCACAGTTACATCAAGCCAAATTTGAGCGTGTACCTGGAATTTGAGCCAAAAATGGATGAGGAAGAAGTCAGCAACAATAAGCAGTACCCAGCAACAACAAACAACAACCAACAACAACTTTGACTTTTGACCCAAAGAGGATACTTCAATGAACAGCAGCTAGTTTTGGATAAGCAGAATCAATGAAACATCTGATAATAACTCGAGTGAACTCAAACCATTTTTTCGTCAACTTTAATTCAAGCTAGAGATTCAAGCTAAGAGCTGAAAACTGAAATTGTGGTAAGAGAACTATAAGGAAACAAAATTTTTTTTTTTTGGATTTCTGGTACTATTTTTTGAGAATTTCAGGGGTTCAGAAAAACTTTCAGGGAAGTTTTCAAAAGGGTCTTCTCCCAGCTTCTTGCACAAGGCAATGTAGGTGCCTTTTATAGGCAAAACCTAAAGTTACCTTCAGACTTTAGTTTTCTTTTAGTCCCTCCCTTATTTAATTTTTTACCCCACTATTTCCAACTTGTTATGCAAGCAACTATCCTAAGTTTATTGGAATCTACACTACAGCCCTTCCTAGAAGGTTCTATGCCTATCACAATCCCTATTCTACCCTTAAACCTTTTCAAAAACTACCAATCCTAAAGAAAATACCCTTTTCCATGCCTAAAATACCCTCTGCATCTCCTGAAATTACTACCCAGACCAGAATGACTTTAGCCCTCTTTCTGCCCTAATTAAGCCCATCTGCTATGGCCAAATTCAACTAATTACCACTAATTGAACCAGGCGTTCCACTGAATCACTGTTAACAGCAGTCACTGATTAACCTAAAAA